GATTTCTTGAACTCTAGGGCACAAGAATATGGCATGTCTAATACTCTCACAATCCGAAGTGCGAAGAGGACGTTGAGAGCTTGTGATCATATGCTTGTTAGCAAGGACTCCATTACAAGGGATGGCGCCAAGCAAAGTTTTCCATACATGAATTTTGATTTTTGCCGGCACAGCAATTTCCAAATGGTACGCCAAACTGGACTAGTACTTGAGGCTTGTATAGAGTTAGTCATCCTCAACTTTCGTCCGTGTTGATGCTCCCACTCTTCATGGTATGCCGATCTAACCGAAAATATTCCACTTCTATTATGGTGCCATGACACAAAATCATCCATCATCCCCAAAGCCAGTGGGATGTTTAATATGCGTTGCACATCAATAGGCCAAAACAACTCCGGTATCAACTGTTCATCCCACACTCTATTTTCTGTATCAATGAGTTCTTAAACTTTTGTGATCACAATGTTACCTCTTAGCGTCATTACCTTTCGAGTAGGACTACTTGGTATCCAAGGGTCTTCCCAGATGTTAATTTGTGACCCATCTCCAACTCTCCAAATATGCCCTCATTTAAAAGACTGAATTCCACTCCATAGACTCTCCCATGTATAAGAACTACCCTTCTTAAGGCCGCAGTTAAGAAGGTCTCCATCAGGAAAATATTTGGCTCTCAAAACTCTAGCACATAAAGAATTTGGTTCACATAACAACCTCCAACACTGCTTTGTGAAAAGAGCCAAATTAAAACAATGCAAGTCCCTAAAACCCATTCCACCCTTCTCCTTTGGGACACACATTTTCCACCAAGCAAACCAGTGAATGTGTTTTTGCAGATCATCATCTCCCCACAAATATTTAGACATAGTTGTGGTGATACTATTGCAAACATGTTTGGGTAGTTTAAAAACTGACATAGCGTAAGAAGGAATAGCTTGTATGACAGCCTTAAGTAGCACTTCCCTACCTCCATAGGATAACAATTGCTCCTTCCAACCTCTTATTCTACTCAAAACTCTGTCAATGAGGTGTTGAAAACAATCTGTTCTGTCCACACCTACAATTGGAGGCAATCCCAAATATTTATCCGTGATGGCTTCCACCATGATATTTAGTGCAGTGCAAACCTCCACTCTAGTATCAATAGGGGTGCAAGGACTAAAGGAAATACTGGACTTGGCCTCGCTCACCATTTGTCCAGAAGCTACACAATAATCATCAAGTGCCCGCCGGAGGCTGATAGCATTAGTGGCGTCTGCTCGCATAAGGATAAGAGAGTCATCCACAAATAAAAGATGAGATACCGAAGGAGCATCACGACACACCTTCACTCCCATAATATTACCAGCCTCCTCCTCATATGTGATCAAGCTTGTCAGGCCCTCAGCATAGAGCAAAAACAAGTATGGTGATAAAGGGTCTCCCTGTCAGAGTCCCCTGGAAGGGACAAAAAAATCAGTTAACACATTGTTTACTCGTACCTGATATTTCATTGTACGTACACATTCCATGATCATTGCCACCCAGTTTGGTGTGAACCCTAGACGCAACAGTATGGTCTCCAAAAAAGTCCACTCGACCATGTCATATGCCTTGTGCATGTCAAGCTTAACCGCACATGTCCCATATTTGCCTGTAGTCTTCTTTTTGATTGCATGATATGACTCAAAAGCTACCAAAAAATTATCCATGATAAGACGTCCCGGAACGAACGCACTTTGATTGGGAGATATAATCTCACACAAAATATGTTTTAGACGATTAGCTAGTAATTTTGAGATCACCTTATACACCATGTTGCATAAACTGATTGGCCAAAACTGAGTTATGACTGATGGATCATCAACCTTCGATATGACCACGACAGTGGTATCATTCCACCCTTCTGGAATCTTCCTAGGATTAACAGCCATCAGTACTTCATCAACCAAATCCTCACCAATGATATGCCAAAATCGTTTGTAAAAAATAGCATGTAACCCATCCGGACCAGGAGCTTTTAAATCACCGATATTAAATAAAGCTTTTTTAACTTCCTCTCTTGTATAGGGCTTATTCAGCTCGTCATTCATTGCGTTAGTCACTCTCGGCTTCACCTTCTCAACAACATTCATGTCTGGAGCAAGCACACACCCCGTGAATAAGTTAGAGAAGTACGTTGCAACATGTGTTCTAATTGCCTCCTGGTCCTCGATCCATGAGCCATTATCTTCCTGTAAGCGCTTAATGAAATTTTTCTTGCGCCGTCCATTTGCTGCTTTGTGAAAAAATTCAGAGTTTCGATCCCCGCGAGTGAGCCAGACCGCTCGGCCCCGTTGCATCCAGTAAAGCTCGTCCTGCTCTAGTAGCTTCTCAATTTCCAAGTGTAGTTCATGTTGTCTAACCATCGCATCATCTGTTAAGGGACCCGAGAGAACCTCGTTTAACTTCTTATGTAACTCCCTGAGTCTAGTACGTGGTCCCTTAAGAACCTCTCTATCCCAACAGTGTAATGCATGATGCACATCAGCCATGAGCTCAGCTAATGCTGCTGTACCAAAAGATTTTCGAGTATCCCATGCCGTTTGAACAATCATCTATATACTCTCTTCTGCTAACCATCGTGCTTCAAACTTCCGAGGTCCAGATGGCCCCCTCGTTGCAAGTCTAACAAATGATCTGTAGTAATAAGAATTGGCTTATGGTGTGATTTATCAAACTCCTCATTACTTACACTAAAACCAGGGGAAAGATTAGCCCACTGCAAATTTCCAGTTGCCCGATCCAGCCGTTCTCTTATCTGCCCACGGCGCCAAGAAAATTTGTCGCCCGTGTACCCAAGATCATCCAAGCCGCAATCACTTAAGGCGTCGTTAAAAACTTGCATACAGCGCCGAGGACGTGCGGCGCCACCGTCTTTCTCATCAGCATGTAAAATCTCATTGAAATCACCAGCCATGAGCCATGGCAGGTTATTCATCGCATGCAACTGCCTTAGATAATCCCAAGACAAGTGCTTCCTGTCAGCGCTCGGTTCTCCATAGAACCCTGTAAAGCGCCACCCTCCAGTAATATTTTCATTAATTCAGATGTCAATATAGTTTAGTTGCACATCAGTTGATGTGACACCAAGACAACTAGACCAGAACATGACCAAACCTCCGCTTCTCCCATCTCTTTCTGAAACTTCCATGACATCAAAACCAAGCCTACTTCTCAACTTTTCTTCCTTAGCTTTATTCAGATGAGCTTCAGACAGAAAAAGCACATCCGGTCTGACTCGCCCTTGGATCCCCAAGAGCGCACGAATTGCCGCGGGCTTCCTCATCCCGCGGCAGTTCCAACATAAAATTTCCATTGCGTCCGGTCGAGCTCCTTCTCGGAGCTCGCTGATATCTGGTGGCTGGCATCCATCACAGTCGTGTTGTCCTTCTTTGACCTCTTCAAATCATGTGCAGAAGTATCATCATCTTCCACCTCAGTACCTACCAGTGCATGATTCTGAATTTCCATTGTTGTTGCACCTCCCTCTGTACCTGTAGCAGCTTGCATCGTGCCCAATTGGTTTGACATTGGATCTGAAACAACTATATCATTGTTCAATCTTTTCCTGCTAGAAGGCAGCTCAACCAATCCATCCTTCATGTTTTTTCAGGTTTCTATTCATATCAACTTCTTTCAGTCCTTTGTCGCTCCCATGATCGCGTTGAACTTGCATACCAGGCCTTGGCGCCAGCATCCACTCACCCCACTCCATACTCTCAGGTTCATGCTTTCCGTTGCCGTGCTCTAAGTGTGGGTGACCCATGCATCCACATACATAACAAAACACTCGTATTTTCTCATAAAGAACCGAGTAGTAAACCTTCTTCTGATTTTTGGTGATGGAAACAAAATGCAAAAGAGGCTGATCAACATCCAACTGAACTCGTACCCGAACAATTCTGCCATTGCCCCATCTAGGGTTTAACATCACGCTAGTAACCTTCCCTACCTTCTTTGCCAGGGATCTAATGATCGCATCCTTCCTGTACAGTGGAGGGAGATCAACTATTTGGATCTAGACTGAGAGCCTATTAAGGACGACTTCACCAAAATTGGTAAAACCATCATAGCTTTCAATTAGAACACCATGATCACGGAAGAGCCAAGGGCCCTCCTCTGTAACTCGTTTCCAGTCCTCCAGACAATTCACCGTGATAGTGAATAGATTCTCACCAACCGCAGTAAACGTCGCACCTTGTGCCAAGCTCCATGCTATACGCATCTGATCATAGAAAGCACCACGGCTGAAGGGTCTATCAGTGTGCACCCTCGCAATTACCATGAATTCCGCCCTGTCCGCCTCGTCCAGGAATTCCTCCTCGAAGTTTAGGTCGTCTTCCTCCCGCTCCTGGAGATTCAGTTTGCCTAACAATTCATCCACACCCGCAGGTCTCCCCGCCACCTTCGCGTTGTTCGCCGAGGACTGAGACCCCGCCATCGCTAGCCCCTCAGGAACAAGCCTCGTCGCAATGAACAAATCTTCAAAGATGGGCTCTGGAGCACGAAACAATCTGAACCCTAAAACGTCACAGCTAGGGGATATAGCGAACCCTAGACGTCGCCGCCAGGGGAATTTATCACAGGCTGACCCTAGTTATCTCGCTAGGGAAGTTTCTTTCCGAGGCGTCCTCGACTCGGTTACGGCGAAACTAAACCATCTCTATCTTTTTTTAGTGAGGGATACGGAACAGGTGATAACTTAAGTACTACTAGGAGGAGTACTAGTTCTCATCATTGTCTCGAAGAAAACGTGATGGTTTATTACGGCTGGATAATAGCCGACTCCTTTTCTTTGACGTTCAAAAAAGACTCCTTTTCTTTTCTTTTTTTTTTTTTAGAAACCAAGCCGACTCCCTGGCTCCGTGTGAATAGCTAGGGTGTTGTGTTCTGGGCTTAAGCGGGCTTCTGCCCTTTTCCCAGTAGGCCGCCAGCCACAGCCCACAAAACACACCCGCGGACTCTGCGGGAACAGGGGAACCATGTTGCGGGCGGCGGCGGCAAGGTGCGCCGGCGGCGGCAAGGTGCGCCGGCGGCGCCATCCGGCGGCTGTCGGTGGCTTCGTACCCAGCAGCGGCAGGCGTGCGGAGGAAGCCTCCCCTGGACGAGGGGGACTGGTCCTACTACAAGGAGTGGTGGGGCGAGGACGACGGCCCCGGCGACGGAGCTCACACCGTCTTCCGCCGCCACTCCGAGCATGGCAATGGCGTCGTCTCCGTCGTTGCCTACCCAGCCTCCATACCGGTAGCTTCCCCTTACCTTCTCCCTACTTCCCTCTTGGTCTACTTCTTGCTTGAAGAAATGGAGATGAACAGCTCGTCGTCTCCTGCCAATTTTACAAAGCTAACGAGGGGAGATTGTTTGCCGATTGGAGCCACTAGAAGTTTTATCATCCAAATTTTTTTGAACCGGGCATAACTCCTTTCCATTACTTTGACATAACGGAAATACAAAGTTTTCACCATTGCAGTTACTAAGGAGGCGAGAAAGGGGAAAGCGAGTTCAACGCATCCTTGGGAAACCCACTGCAAGCACTCGTCCTCGAGCAGCTTACCGTGGGGCGAAAACCCAAGGACACCCAAACACAGAACTAGCCCTAAACGATATCATCCAGCGAGGTTTTGATACAGCAAAAGAGCTCACGCAGTAGCAGAATGAGAGCGCTCACACAGGAGCAGCATGACCACAGATCAAGACCAAGGCACACGACCAAGACGAGATTAACATGACCCAGCTCAGGCACAAGACCAAGGCACACAGTAGTTGTATCATCCAAATACTAGAGACTTAGACATCATGTGGCCACTAGAACATTTTTTTTCGTTTAGATCCATGCTGGTTCCTGGCAAAAGGGGTTAATTTTGATGCAATTTCACCTCTTGTGGTTTAGAACATGGCCACGTGGGGCAAAATGCTACTGCTCTGCATTATGTCTAATTTAAATGTTTGTATGCTTCTTACCATGATAAGCATCTTCATTCTGTGCCACCATGATCATTCGCGAGTCTTGTGATTTATCGCACTGTAAACAATAATGGATTTTTGAAGATTTTAGCTCAACCTATTTTGGACTCATACGGAAATACAAATTGTTTTGCTGTGACAGGCCAGCGATCAGTGGCCAGTGATGGAGAGATGGCTTCAAGAAAGAAATTTGGCAATATACCCAGAATCAAGTGGTGCTGACCAATTTAAGATACTAGGCTACCAATGGCGAGTAATGCGCTTTAACGACCATACACGGCAAAGTACTGCAAAAGTAATGGCGTGTTACCGGTCTGGGGGTGATAGAGCATTATACTCAATGCAGCAACCCAATTGTTTAGCTGTTCCTTGTGAGTTCATCTGTACTGTGTTCACACCTATGCTGATTGATGATAATTTCTCCATGCTGATGTTTATTTTTTTGGATTCATTTTGCATTTGTTATTCTGTAAGCATAACTTAGAAAGACGGCTTCTTACATACAAATCAAGTATACACACACTTACAGGTCAAAAGACATCAGTAAACATGATTCCTTGATTATTTCTTAGCTGCAAGTTTTTTATGCCATCGAGATCACAAGAAGAATTTCTGGTAGATGTGCACGGAACTGTTATTTGCAAAACTAAAATAATTTTGTTGGCACTTAAGTTTTGTCTTTTGCCTTGATACTATCATCTGACAGTCATTGTTTGCAGATGTCAAGAGCATGGTATCAGCAGGGTTGACAGCACTCCCTAGTTGTTCTTATGATCTCCCTCAAGCAGTTTCTGAGCCGAACACTATGAAAATTCTTTGCATCGGTCATGGTGGCGGCAGCATACCATTGTTTTTGGCTAGTAAATTCAGAGGTATGTACTACCACAGGTTTTACTAATGATTATTACTGCATAGATTGATACTGGATTTTTTTTGTTTTGCTGATACTTTGTTTCCTGTACAGTGAACTTGAAATGAAGTTATTATCTTCTGGTCTTTGTTGGTCAGTTAGAAACTATACCTGGCTTGGCTTGTTTAACTGCAAAAAGAGTGCAGTACTAATAAGTAATAACTTGCACGTGAATACACAATATATTTTAGATGTGCAAATGCATTCCCAGCTCTAAATAGTTGGGAGTCAGCTCATTTGATGGAACATTTGGTCTAACATACATACTATTCCTATTGTAGTTCTAGTTGTAGATCCTTGATTCTGCAGCTGTCCACCTCATAGAAACACTAACATATTTCATCTGTTTCAGGTGCTGATGTCCACATTGTGGAGATCGATCCAGTTGTCGTCTCAGCCTCGGTCGAATCCATGGGCTTCCCGGCATCATGTGCGAAAGGGTTATCAGCCCACACCATGCAGCCCGCCGACGGCGACGAGCTGCTATGGAACGGCGTCCACGACCGCATCTCCCTCCACGTAGAGGACGCGGAAGACTTCATCGCCGGCGACAGCAATGTCTATGACCTGGTCTTCATCGACGCGTACGACGGGAACGACATATTCCCCCGCAAGCTCTGGGACGCCGACGGGGCGTTCCTGAGGAACCTGGAGGAGAAGGTCCACCCGGTCCACGGCACCGTGGTGGTGAACCTGCACTCCGACTCGGGGCCGTCGTCCCCCGACGTCGACGACGAGGCCCCCTTCGAGAACGTGCTCCCCATGGGCAGGTACGTCTCCCACGTCTGCCGGGCCTACAAGCGGCACTTCGGGCTGGCCTTCACGGTGGCCTCCCCCTGGCTCTGCAACATCACGCTGGTCGCCTGCCGCGACAAGGCGATACTGAAGGGCGTGCCGGTAGGGCGTAGCCATAGGGATTTTGTTCTCAGCAAGCTTCTGTCGAGGTCGAGCATGGTCGAGCAGGCGCTGGACCTGCCGTTCCCCTGTCTGCAGTATGTCAAGAATGGCTTCACGCTGGTTGAATAATGTGTGTGTTCGTTTGGTTTTGGACGGAAGGCGTGAGAATAATCTGATGTTTTATGCGCAACCCTCTCTTGTTGTGCTCACCATTTGCTCTCCCACATTGCTGGGTGTTCCTGAATCCTGAGCTTCGTGCGGGGTTTTTATTGTGACCTGCCGGTGAGCAGTGCACATCAAGTTGATGAATGTGTTGTGTGCTGCTTCTCTTTTCGAGATTCATCTTCAGTTTTAGCTGTCGAAACTGAAATATGTTCCCGAACAGTAGCCCTAAGCAACACGGTCGGGCGGTCCAGGTTACACGGCGTGTGATTTGACTTGTGAGGAGGTTTGGCCACAAAGTCTGGGGCGGGCACGTGAGATTCATCAAACCGGACGCCGATGGCTTAGTTTTAGCCAGGCAGGTGGATGCGTGCCCACGAGGTTCCTGCGCTTGCAAATTGACCCGCGATCATCTCCAAGCAAAGCCCGGTTGACAAATGGCTTAGTCTAGTATCCTCTTGCCGTGAAAGGGTGAACTGGAACTTTCAGTTATTCTTGGCTTGCATTTGCAGTTGAAAACAAATGTATATAGCGAACTAAGCATAGCTTGGAGGGTTCCGTTCGCATATTTGTAAACTTGACATGGATGCTCGTATATTTTCTGAATTTATTTTCGTTTCTCCGACGCTATTCTTTCAACCATATGATGTGTGTGTCAATTATGAGGCGTTTAAGATATGCCGGTTCAATCTCTCTCGAAGATGCCCATAGGGATATAGAGTATTTACATGCGTTCATAGGACGGATGTGCGTGTGTTTTTTTTGTTTTTCTTTTGCATGATGATATGTGTCTCGTTAATAAAATAAAGAAAGATTCGGTTACAAGCCACATAAACATCGACATTACATGACTGAAAAGATAGGATAATCATATGCAAAAAAACTAGCGCATGTCCCTCTTCACTAAGGAAAAGAAGAAAAATCACCTCTTCACATGAGCTCGACGCGGCTTCATCGCTGATCAACAGCTTTACGGACCTCAAAAGTAGTTTGCTTGAAGCAAAACCATTACCGTTGAAAGAATCAGACCGGGGCAACATGTCCCCGGACACACCATCGAACTCCAGAACTGATACCCCCGCACGACTATGACGCCGAAGGAGGAAACCAGAACTGTCAGCCTTCAACCACAAATCCAGCACAAGATGCACCATCTTTCAGCGGTCACATGCGTAGACAACCATCTGCGCGTACTCCTGGACGACAAAACCTCCCTGCTCCACCATGGGCCTCTACGTTATACTATGTTTCTTGAGCGTGCGTTTTTCTTGAGCCTCTACGTTATACTATGTTTCTATAAAAATGTACACACTACACGCATGTAGAATTGTAGCATTCCACAAGCACAAGCTTGGAATTAAAGCATGAGCCGTCGTCGCCGGCGGTCAGAAGTCACGAGATGCGTGCAGATCGGCCCGGTTGAAGCGTTTCCTTTTTCTTCCTGGATCGATATATCGAGCAGAGACGTGTTTTCGGTCTAGAACTTGTTTCTTGTAAGATCGATAATGGTTCACGTGCATGCGCCGACCGCCATACAAGTCCAAGCAACGCGGTTCCTGTGCTATTAATAAAATCGATCAGCCACGACGAGACGAGAGGTAAGATCTCGACTTGGGAACTCTCACAAGAAGACGCCCAGAGGAGAGGAGAGGATGCTGCTGAGGAGCTCCTCCACGCCATTCCTGCACGCCTTCCTCTCCACCACCTCCTCCTCCCCTACGCCCCCCTCCTCCCTCCAGCTCCGGCGAGCCTTCTCCGACGGCCACCTCCCTTCGCTCAACCCCTCCTCCTCCGGCGACGACGACAGCAAGACCACCGGCCTCTACACCGAGCTCTCCTTCTCCATCTACAACACCTTCAGCAAGGCCAAGCTGGAGCCCCACCAGGAGCAGGAGATGGAGGAGGAGCAGGAGCAGCAGGCGGCGCAGCCGGAGCTGCCGCTGTTCCTGGCGAGGGGCATGGGGATCGACCGCCTCGCCTCCGGCCTCTTCACCGCCGGCATGGGCTCCGAGGCTGCCCTGGCTAGGATGGCCAGCGGGGTGGACCAGAAGGCCGTGCTGGCGCTGGACGCCCAGTACAAGGAGATGGTGGACGAGCAGCCCGGCAACGCCCTGTTCCTGCGCAACTACGCGCAGTTCCTGCACGAGGTACGTACGATCTAGCGGCTCTACTATCTTCCCGTTAGTTACTGTTAGTTTGCCACTCATAGCTATATGTCACCTTCTTGAAGAGTTGTAATATCTCCTCATTGATGTTCTTGGCGTTCATAATGCATGTAACTAAAGTTCAGTACGTTGGTGGCATCCGTAATCACAGTCAACGCAAGTGAGTTTTGGAACTATATGTATCTGCCATTCTCCCAAGTCCCTACCACTTGAATCATGTTAGTGGGTTTCAAAGATGTCGGCTAGGCTCTTTTTTCTTTCTCAATGAAAGGGTGCTCAAAGAAAGTGCGTCCACCTCGTCGGAAAGAAAGGTGCAGCGTAGTGGAGGCATTTGTGCAACTTTAATTTCAGTAGAAAAACATTTGTGCAACTTTAGGCTTTAACAAAAATGTACTCCAATTACTCGGGTTTCGCACTTTTAAATCGAGCTCAGGTTGCACAACTGATTCTGAACTGATGCAGTGCAGTTCAAGCTTTGATACCAATCTGCAGAAAGCAAAAGCACTGTGCAAAATTTAACCAGTAGCCCAGTACTGCTCTTGACTTGATGCCCTGTACCGAACTGATGAATGAATCAGGTGAAGTGCGACTCGAGAAGGGCGGAGGAGTACTACTCGCGCGCGATGCTGGCGGACCCGACCGACGGCGAGATCATGTCGCAGTACGCCAAGCTGGTGTGGGCGGTGCACCGCGACCACGAGAGGTCCCTCACCTACTTCCAGAAGTCGGTGCAGGCGGCCCCGCGGGACAGGTACGCACCACACAAATACTGTAATAAATCTAGGCTCCTTCGAGCTGGCCGGTATGGCTGACGTGGTGGTGCTGTGGCGACGTGCATGGCAGCCACGTCCTCGCGGCGTACGCCAGCTTCCTGTGGGAGCAGGACGAGGATGAGGACGACAATGACGACGGCGGTGTTGGGGGAGGCGAGCAGGGATCACCCGGGCGTGCTGCGCAGCCGAGGCAGCTGGCTTCCACGGCCGTTTGACTACCAGGGGTGGCCAAGATGGGCTTAACGATGTGCGTGCTGATGAGTGATGACCATGCTTGTATGATGTTTCTGTATAATCTGCAAAATGTTTGGACGATCGAGGTGCTGCTACGGAATAAAGAACGTAACTGTTGAGGCGATGGAAGGCTGTACCTGTAAACACTGGTGATTCCGTCTGCCGATGCAAAGTTGCTATACTATGTTTATTGGCTAATTGCAAGATCCTGCAGGCTCTGTATTTACCTGCTTGTGGAGTCCCATGCTGGATTTTATAACGCTGGAGAGTGGCGCCTTGATGGGCTGGCACAGGTCTTTATGCTTCCGTGGGAGGCTGCAACTGCAATAGCTAGCTGCGTCACCACTCCCACCATGCCCTAAAATTGGATTTTACACTAGGGGAGAGAAGTATTTTGGGCATGAACAAAGTTTTTGCTGTAACAGCAATGCCCTAAAACTAGTGCCTTAAAAAAAATTTGGAAGCCAATTGAAACATAAGATCCGACGGTGGAGAGGCAAGGAGGCGGATCTGACTGTCGCCGAGCAGACACTAAAACGCAACTTTCTGCATAAACGCGCTAAGCACCCAGCTGTTAACCAAAGCTGGCACTAAAAGACTAGCAAACTCTACCTCAAGTGAAGGCGCCCGCACGCATCCATCTGAGCCGTGTGTATGTCTACCACCCGTCGCAACCCAGCGCCAGAGCTCAACAGCAACGCACAATGCGGTACAAAGCCATGATGACCTGTGTGAACCAGCCTTCACCTACAGCATCGTGCTTCACAGAAACTACAGGTTTTTGTAAGCTACAGCAATATCCACAAATTAAAAGTTCTGAAGTCTGGCGTGCTAATGGTAGACCAGGAACAGCAACACCAGCCACCAGCCACAGCCTTTGCCGGATGATGCAGCTGAGCTAAAGCAATCCAAGTAACCCTGCATGGTTCGGTCCCATCCCAGATATATGTTAGGCGCCACTGCTGACTCATGGCAACATGCTGGGAAATTATTAAACCTGATGACTGACAATCGGAATACTCTTGACAGTGTTCTCAAATGGCCAAGGATCAACTAACACTGATCCATTTTTCCCCATGTTTTAGTTCATACCAGATAGGCGACACGATCATGTAGCAAAAACACTAAAAGAGTCCCATCTAGAAACGAGTCATTCTCGATAGCAGCTACACAAAACGCAAGTTCTCCAGGTAATCGCGCTTTGTTGTGACAAAAATATGGCCAGGCCGCACCAGATCGAGAGCACCAAATGGGATGCGACCATTCGCCAGCAGACCAAATGTGAGATTAGTCGTAGCCGTCGTATTGGTGCCCGCCCCTCCTTTGGTAACCATTTCCCTTTGACCGTGCAGCGTAATCCCCGTCGTAGCGCCCACCATATTGACCCCTTCCCCGCCCTCGCCCTGCAAAGTGAGCAAGTTACAAAAATAAACAAGGCTTGTTTATTAAACTCGATTTTGATCAAATACTGTACAATACAGAGGTAGTTTTCGCGTTTCTTTGAAAGTACTCCCTCTGTAAACAAATGTAAGACATTTTGGCAGTTTAAGGATTATGATGCATTTTTATCATGTAGTCATGTTCTTAGGGTACTTGACAGTGGAGAAATTAAATTGCACTGTATAACATGAAAGACCATAATACTGTCTAAAATATGTCTATATACATCCGTATGTGTAGTCCATTTGAAATCTCTAAAAAGACAAATATTTAGGAACGGAGGGAGTAGTCATGTTCTTAGGGTACTTGACAGTGGAGAAATTAAATTGCACTGGATAACATCAAAGACCATAGTACTGTCCCCAAATAATGAGGTTACAGAAACCTCATTCAATGTGTCGAGCATAGGTTAGTACAGAACAAGACATACCCTACGAACAGCAGCAGTTGGCACAAAGATCGTTGGTAAAATATATCTGCCAAACCACGGTCATGAGGAAATCAAAATTTATACTTACTTCCGCCGCCGCGAAAGACTCCACTGCCAGGCCTCCTCTCCTCAACATGTACTAGACGCCCATTCAACTCTATTGGAGATGCCTGATGTATAAAAGATCACCATAACAAGATATGTTCAGGTATAATATGACATCATATAGATGGCATTCAGCCATTCACAGACCACTCTGTTTCACACATTTTATGGACATCAAACACTGGCTCAAACTAGAATACAAATAATGAAGATTCTTGATCTAATCATGCAACTTGTCTGGTGAAGTGGAGGATAAAAGATCTTGACTATGTTGCTTTGCTTATGCAACAAATGAAGTCCATGGCTATTCTATGTAATTTTGACCTTTCAGCAAAATATATTTTTTGTTATGTTTCTTAATGTAGAATGTGAAAACATAAATGTTAGGCACTTGGGCATTTCAGCCACTAAACTCAGGACAGGTTGCAAGAAACTAATTCACAATGTAGTTGTACGAAGTGATTCAAGGCATGGTCTTTATAACCCTCCCTTTTTTTCAATCCAGGGTCATCTGCACAAGTTGTGCTATAATAATGCAGAAGCATGAGAAACTGAGAAACTCACATCCAACGCATTCTGGATGCCACTCATGTTTTCATACTCAATAAATCCAAAGAAAACTCCAGCCTCCTGCATATTAGTACACGAATTAGGAAACCCAACAGAAGGAATTAGAGGAAGAGCCTAGATAGAAGGCAAGATACCTTGCGACTACGTATAGCAACTCCATCAGGTTTAATTCTTCCAAAAGCCTGAAAGACCTTCTCAAGATCAAAGACTGAAGTAGCTGGAGAAAGATTACCGACATATACTGATAGGAACTCTTCTGATAGAAAAGAAAAACAATCATCAGTCAATACACAACCAAAAAGATTATGTCCACAGGAATTATCAGACAGACACTAATACCAGACATTGCAGATGAAAATTGGTGTTTTTCTTTTGCAAGGAATATAAAAGTTATATAACAAAACAGGTTCGAATGGCTCTGGACAAGAGACCAAAAGTATGCATAATGCCATGCAAGTTCAAAGGTATATTGCTCGGTTTCCTGCGCTTTACATACGCCCAGAAAAACTTCACTTAACTACCAGGTCAGAAAACCCACATGTGAAGAAAAAGGTCACATACAGAAATCATTAGCATATTAATGAATCTAAAAGAACATGCCAGATTTAAGTTTCCAATAAGCTCTTCCAGCAAGAAAAATACAGCATTACATGGTTTCCAATTCTTAAACATATAGTTAACCAGCAGCAGATGGACAGCTAGCATGAGTAAACAATGATTGTGGAGGGGAAAATCATCAAACGAGCAATATGATACCGCTACCGTTAACCCCCATAATTCATGATTATACAGCCACTCTCAAATATCAATAACAAATAAGTTACTGCTATACAAAACACACACACAAAACAAAATGTGACACGAGTTGAAAAACAAACAGAAGACAAAGCATGTAAACATATTCAAACAAGAGCTTCCCCACTTAGGATTTCACCTAACTGCTCGATAAAAAATGGGCATTAAGGGCCTGCTTTGGCAATGTTCCAGAATTTTCGTGCAATATGTATATGGTTGGGCTTATTCTTGGCTTTTGCACCTAGGCTTAAAAGCCAAAAAGGCAACTGTTTATGGGCTTTTCGTTTCGGCTTTTGGCTTATGACTCAATATTGTTACATGATGGAATAAGACAAAAGCCAAAGCAAAAGGCCCATAAATAGATGTTTTTTAGGCTTTTAAGCAAGAGTGCAAAAGCTAAGAATAAGCCCAGCCAAACAGCCTAGGCAGGAACTTAAGTGCGCCTAGGCTCTAGGCGATAGCAAAATGCCTAGCGCATAAATGTGCGCTTTGGTCAGAAAAGCGCAAGGCGGTGCCAAAACGCACAATTAACGCCTAGCACTTTTTTAACTATGCTTCAAACTACCTAACAAAGAAGTTGTGTTTAAATCCAAGACAGGAAAGTTTGAATAACAAACAAGTTGAAACCCATTCCCAGTGGTAAAGGGGAGAGGGTATCAACAGAGAACAGCTAATCGTTAGTGGGTAGATAAGGTTTGCCAAATGTTAGTGCTTAGTAATAACAAAAAAACATAGGGAAGGTCCCAACAAAGGAGTCATGAGAGTAAAAAAAGTTAGAGTAGAAAGAAACCTTCATCCTCAGGAACATTGACATCCCGACGAGTGCCCAAGTTCGATTTTTCTTGCACTGGCACAGGCTGAGTTTGTCCAACCAGCTCTGATTCTGCGGTCCCTGTCATAGCCCTGTTAACTGGAGTGGAGTGGATAACCTGACTAGCATTTGCTCGCAGCTGACAAATTTGCAACCGATTAGGCATCAAGTTAAAACTAAGGATTGAGAATGAATAAAGTTACAACATATGTTAGCTTACCACTGAAGCATATGTTTGCTTAGGCGGTTCTCCTACAGGCTCTTCTTCAGGTGTAGGTGGGGAAGGAGGGTGGGGAGGAGCAAGAGATGCATCCTGTTTAACGTCTGTCGAACTAGGGAGGGAGGGAGCAGGATCTTCAAAATGAGTTTCTCCGTTGACTGCAGACTCAAATTCCAAAGGATCTTGCTGCTGCATTTCATGATTCTCATATATAATACCATTAGCCCTTTCGTCGGTATCAGCAGGAGCTGCAAACCCCTTCAATTCAAGTTCTTCAGCCACATAATCAGATGCTGAGGAATCAACCAACAAAAAAATGGTTATCATTTTGACCATGGCTACAGTTGGAACAAACTTTTTCTCAATAAATAATGCAGAAGAATACATCAATGAACTGGAAATAAATGAATAAAGTAGGATTATGTAGGGAGGAGTACTGCCCATGTAAAAAGGGTTACCACCAAAATTACGACCAAAGTAATAGCACTTAGAGTGAAAAGGAGGAGGTAAATGGAAAACAGACCAAAATAAACATATTTGTCAAAGAGAACCAGCACCGAAAGAACTTTAGATAGAGAGAGAAGAACCGAAATGAAGTTGATTTACTGAC